CTGAAGAGATACTGATTTGGCGACATTATTATCGAAGTTTAGGCAGACAGTGATCAAGGAAAGAGACTTCATTCAGTAAGGGATGTTCTGTTCTGGAGCTATGTGCAAAGCTTGACAGGTTCTCCACACCTGAATAGATTTGATCTGATTTTATATACTGATTGATGTACAGTAGTTGCTTTTTTTGTAGTTGCTGGTTTTTCACATTTCTTATAGAGTTTTTTTTCCTACACATTTTTTGTAAGTTGCATTGAGAATTTTGTTTTAAGGTTAGGTTAAAAATAACAAGATGTAAATCTTCATAGAGCACCAGAACAAATGACCTCCAGCCTAGAGAAAGCAAATCTGGATTCTTTGCTTCATACGAAAGGCCGTTAGACCCGGCATTATGGGATATGGGTTCAGAGAAACTTTGCTCTGTTTTGCAGCTATCCCAGACTGAGACATAACATCAAGGTTGTTCAACTTTTTCTGTGTTGAGGGTCTTACTTGGTCTTTAAATGCTATGCCAAAGGTCATACTCCAACAAATAGTGGTGGGCCAAGACAAAAACAAATGTTAATGCCATTTGTGTTTGCAATAATGAAAGACAATTAATATGATTATTGTCAATTCATATATGTAATGTTTTTGTTCTATCACACTATAATGAATAAGTCTCAGAGATTTTTGGACCTAGAAGCAAATCGGCAACCAATGCAACTCCTGCAAAAGACACATGTCCAAACCTAGGCTTGCGCAGAACTGTGCAGACCACCACATTTTGAACTAACTGAAGCTTCCGGATGCTCCTCAAGGGCAGTCCCATGTAGAGTATGTCCCAATAGCCCAAATGGGAGGTGACTATGGTGTTGGTGACTGTGAGAAGGGCATGTTGGCCCAGGAATGGGCATAACTGGTGCACAATTCGCAGTTGCACAAAGGCCCTCCTGGCGACAACTGCCACCTGCTCCTCAAGCAGAGTCACGAGTCCAGGAGAACCCCCAGATTATGCCCCTGGTCCATCTGGGGCAATGCAACCCCATCCAAGACCAAGGAAGGTAATTTTCCAGAAACCAAAGAGCCTTGAACCCAAAACCACTCCGTCTTGCCAGGGTTCAGCTTCAGCTTGTTATTCCTCATTCAGACCTCAACAGCCTTCCAGCACCAAGGAAAGGCGGTCATGGCATCACTTAGCTCACTATGGACAAAGATGTACAACTATCATCTGCTTACTGATGATATCTCACCCCATGATGACAGATGATCTCACCCAGTGGCTCTGTGTCCATCCTGTGTTAAACAGGAATAGAGAAAGCACCAATCCCTGTGGAACCCTGCAAAGCAGGGGCCGAGGGCTGGACCTCTTGCCCCCAATCAACACCAACTGAAATCAGCCTCAGAGGAAGGAAGTAAACCAGGACAACACAATGCCCCCCATTCCCAATCCCCAAAGCCAGTCCAGAAGGATACCATGGCCGATGGTATCGAAAGCCACATAGGTCAAATAGAGCAAGGATGGACGCACTATCTCCATCCTGCTCTTGCCAGAGGTCATCAAAAAGTGCAACCAGTGCTATTGCTGTCCCAAATCCAGGCCTGAATCCTGACTGAAAGGAGTCCAGATAATCCGTTTCACCCAGGATCCTCTGGAGTTGCAACACAACTACCTTCTCAACAACCTTCCCAAAAAGGGAAGGTTGGAGACAGGATGAAAATTGTCCATCTAGTGATGGCTTCTTAAGAAGGGGGTGAACCACAGCCCCATTAAAAGGCTGGGGCACCACCCCCTCCTCCAGAGATGCATTAACTACCACCAGTATCCACCCACATATCACCTCCTGGGAAGCTTTCACCAACCAGGAGGGACACAGATCTAAAACACAGGTAGCCATGCTCACATTCCTTAGGACCCTGTCTCCTTCCTCAGGAGCAATAGGGTCAAATCATTCCCAGATAACTGGGCAAGGATTTTCCCCAGGCATCTCCACCGGACCAGCATCCATGCCGACATCCAACTGGGAATGAATCTGTGTGATTTTATCTTCTGGAAACTCAGCAAATTCCTCAGCGCACCCCTGCAGGTAGACCTCTGAGTCCTCCTTCCCCCGAAGGAATCTGGTCACCTTAAAGAGGGCCATCAGGTGATTGTCTGCAGATGCAATTAGTGCGGAGAAGTATTTCTGCTTCGACACACAAATTGCCACGTGGTAGGCTTTAATAGCAGCTCTTTCCCATGTTCAGTAGAGTTCATTCTTCTTCTTCTGCCAGCTCACTCTAGACATCTCTTGATCCATTTCATCACTCTCAGATCCTCCATATACCATGGGGCACAATGAGGTCCACAGGTTGGGAGAGGGGAGAGGTCGCATGGGTGCAATCCTATCTAAAGCCTTAGTCACTCTCCTGTTCCAGATGGCGACTAGGGTCTCAGCAGGACTATACAGCAGATCCTCGGTTATAACCCGCAGCTCCCTCTGAAACCTATCAGGGTCCATCAGTGAGCAGGGATGGATCAATCTAGTAGGTCCTGCCTCCCTGCAGAAGGATACGTCCCTAGAGAAGGTCATAGGTAGGTGTAATCTGACCATGACAAGGGGACCAAAGATAGGCCCACCAATTTCAAATCACATAGGCACCACTCCCACAAGAACACCAAATAGGGTGTGTGACCACTATTTCTAGTTGGGCCCTGGATGACTTGGTACAGACCCATTTCCATGAATTCCCAAGCTGCCTCCAACCCCATTCGCAGGGAAGGCAGGTTGAAGTCCCCCAGAACCATAAGTCTGGGAAACTCTACCACCAACCCCACAGTGAGGTCTAGGAGCTTGGGCAGGAATGGTGCTACACAGCAGGGAGGCTGGTATAGTAGCAGTAATCCCAGCTGGTCCCTAGAGCCCAACCTATGAAAAAGGGTCTCACGACTGGGCACTTGTGGAGCGATGCCCCTGGTAGCCATCAGAATATGTATGCCTGTATCTCAGATAGTGCTCCTCTGCCTTGGATGTCATCCTGTATACCAGAAGTCTTAATTGCTCCATTCTGTAATTGTAACTTGAGCTTGAGTATTCTTCTCCTTTAATTATAATCTTTAGTTCCCTCTAGTTCCCTCTAGTGTCCAATTTTTAAAGTTTTATCTTACTGTGTTTTTTTAAAAAAAGCATTCAAAACAAAAGCATTTTACCATGGGAAGGATTCTGTATAAATAATTCCAAAATCTTATTTCAAATTTATCTGGACTCTTAGTCCATTGGAACTTTCTAAAATC